CTGTTGTAGGCAAAGAGACGAGACGGGTTTTTTTCCTCCAATTGAAGCGGTCGCTGTATTCACGCGCCACGTTGACCGTATCGCGGCGTAAATACGTGAGCTCGCTGCCGTTACGTCTTCCTCTCTGCGAGGACGGCGAGCGGGCAGGAGATGACCTTGTTTTTCGGGCTTCCACCAGACCACAGCACGTTGGGCCTAATAACAAAAACAAGCATCCCGGTGTGGAGCTGGTCCCACAGTGTGAGGACCTTAATGAGGAACATGTGGAGCTGCCCAGACACACAGTCAGAGGAAACCCAATCCCTCACCCCCCTCCCCCCTTCCCTTCCCCACCCTCCTCTTTTTTTTCTTCTTCTCCCAACCCCCCATTCTTTCTTTCTCCCTCGGCCTCTTTCGCCTCACTCTACGTTTTCTGTCGCTAAGTTTCAATCCCTCCTTTTAGGTCGTAACGTTTGTGTAAAGCATGAATCCCTTTCCCTCTGCGCCCCACGTGGAAACGGCCTCTTTCTTTCCTCCATGGAACCAGAACATGTGACCGATGTTCTAGTTTCTAGTTTCTACCTGATGACTTGCGTTGGACTCGGTAGCATGTGCGCGCTGCCGGGTCACGCAAGACGCTCGGGGGGGGGGACGTGGGAAGAAAGAGGTCTTTCTCCGCCCATCGGGCCTGACAGGCGGCCCGGGGACTCTCTTTCATGTGCTGAATTCATCCTTAGCGTCCACCTGGATCAATTAACCGTTTGCTCCAGTGCGCATCAGTCCCGCGGTTTCGGCTCCTGAGCTCCTTTCGGGTCGACGGCGGCTTAAAGGCCGAAAAAACGAAGGCTGGGATTGTGCTCGTCTTTCATCCGCGCGCAACACGACATGCAATGACAAATTGAAGTGAACTGTGTGTTTTCTCCTGCAGGAGATGTCGTCACTCGCTCCCGAGGAGAGCCGCTGCAACGGGTGAGACGCTCGTCGTTGTTTCTTCCTGCAACGCCGTCTGCAGGTCCGCCTCTGCAGCACGGCGCGCCGTGAGGGGATTTAAAACGCGGACCGCAAAGTGCAGCAATAAAGCGGATGAGCCGACCGAGCCTCCAAAAATTAGCTGAACAATTAGAGTGAGGTAGAGCACAGAGGCTAGAGGGGGGTGGGGGGGGGTAGAACTTGGCACACTGGATCCAGTGTGCCAGAGGCCCTTCTGGCAGCTCAGGACAATCCAAACGTTCCACTCGGGTTGAGCCGTCTTCGTTTCCCCCTCCACTATACACATCAGCCCCACATCAACACGGGCCTGTGAAGAGCTTTCACGAGGCCGACGGGGCACCTGAATCACACAATTGTGCGGCCCGGAGGAGCCTGCATGTGTATAGAAAACCCAGTGATCCAATAAGTGTCTGGGTTCACTTCTCTCTCATAAAGTCAGGGGGGAGGGGGGGGGGACCACAGCTACAAGCCAGCTTTTCCAGCTGCACCAAAACAAAGCTTTAACTTCTAGGAGATTACGCAAACTGCGACTGTGGATTCTTTTTTAATAATATCTTTTCAATACGGTATCTGGGCCGGTGCATTACATTTCTTTATTTACATGGCGCATTAAAACCGCAGAGTGTGAGCGAAAAAATAAAAAAGCAGTCCAGTAGGTGTGTGTGTGTGTGCGTGCCTTGCAGATGGTCCGGCCTCACAGCAGCTGTGCAAATGAAAGACAGAGTGCCGTTGAAGGAGGTGAGAGAGATGGAAAGTTGGCCGCAACGAGGAAAAGAGTAACCTGCAAGTTGCGAACTGAAAATGTAATGGAAAAAAAAAAAATCAAAAGCCCACTGAGCTTTGCTGAGTGTTTTCTTTGACGCAGACAAAAGGCAGACAATGCCCTCGCGTGTTGAGTAACACTTTTGTTCGAACAAACAAAATGACAAAAGGAGGGATTTATTAACCGTAAATATGACACCTAATCAGTGCAATGGAGGAAGTCTCGTCATATTGGATGACACTATATTTCTCTTTAGTCCTATATCAATATAGCGTAGTATAACTTCAATGCTACCACCATCAATTTTGTTCGAGATAGGCGAAGCAAGATGTTGGTTCACGCACACACAAATGTACCCTCAGATTCTGTTATTTCAAAAGCCCAAATGTGGAGTGAGAAAACAACAGGTGGGAGAATCCAGCTTAAGGCTGAAAACACACCAACATTTGTCCCCAGGAAGAGAGGGGGGGGGGGGCAGAGAGGACAGTTGTCCCTCAGTCCTTTGTAGTGCAAACAGGTAAGTGTATGTGTGTGTTACACTGTTAATAAACACCAACACCACTGTGATTCTTCAATTATAATCAGGGCAATTATACCCCCCCCCCCTCTGCCCTCATCCAAACAATTGACACTGCACGTTAATATCAAGCGGTTAGTGAATAATTAGGGTTTCATTGGTCAGCAATCACCTCCGGGAGGGGTCGGGGGGCCCCGAGTCTGCGCTTTAGACCCCTCCCTCGTAGAGCCGCCCTGAAGACAGGGGGGTTGGGTTGTGTGTGTGTGTGTGTGTGTGTGTGTGTGTGTGTGTGGGATGGGGGGGGTTTGAATGACAGCGCTTGGGAAGCAAGTCGACCCTTTTTTCGGGTCTGATTTCCCCCGCAGCGTCGATGAGAAGCAGTCGAGGAACTCCATTCTAACTGAATGGATTGGTATGGGGAGAAGCGGACCACACGGCACGGCTAAGCGGCAGCTTTTGGACTGTGTTACCTTGACGATGGTTCTGCTCTCGCTGCTGTTTCGACCAGGTGAGTCTTGTTTTTTTTGTTTTTTCCCCCCCTTTATTGCACCTTTGGTATCGTGTGTTTCGACGCGCTTCGCTCGCGGGGGAAACGCCGGAGCTGCGCGTCCCCGCGGCCCCTCGCGATGGAGGAGGGGAAAAAAACGCCAAAAAAAGTTTTAACTTTTACCTCAAACTCTTTTTTTTTTAACGCGCTGACTTGTTTTATCACGTAAAAACATTTTTCTGTCGGTTTGGGGAAAAAAGTTTTTTTTTTAAAGATGCAGGGGGCCGCTGTTGTTTGAGAAGTTACCGGGGACAAAAGCAACAAATCTCAGCCTCCGGACGACACTTGTTCCGCTGCGCGCTGCTCCGGCACCGCGAGTTAACCCGCTAAACGGACGTTTTCAAAAAAAAAAAACTAAACAAAAACACGTTATCTCCACTGACGACGTCTCACCGAACGGTTATTCGGTGTCGGCGGACACGAACAGTCGACGCGTTTCCATCGAGTCGCGTGAAGTTGCGGGTTAGCGCCCGGTTAGCATAGCGAGCTAGCTAGCAAGCTAGCAACTGGCACCCGCAGTCTAACGGGAAGAAAAACACGCAGCGTTTCTCTTTTTAAAACTACAGAGAAAAAGGCCGTTAACCGGACAGCGCGTGTTGACATTTGCTTTTAAAGTCCCGGGTATAAGTTGTCCCGAGGACATTTTTTTTAATTCGTTATTCTCACCGTATTCATGCGTTAAGTTGCCGCGGCGTCCCCGCACAGGCGTCCGGCTCTCCGGCCTCCGGTCGGGCTGCTCGCTCCTTTATTCCAGCGAGAGATCCGCGATCACGACGTTAACTTTTTACATTACGAGGTTGTTGTTTTTCATATTTGTCTGGCTGGTTATTTCTTGTTTTATGACACAGTTGCTGTCTATGTGCTTCTCTTTTTGGTGACCGTCAAAAAAAGTCACCAGACAGACTTATGTACTAATTATTACCATTTTTGGTACCTTTTTATTTTTCTGGTTTTATCAAGGTTTAATAGTTTTTAAGATTTTGACCATGGTATTTATTCAAACATAACAACTGCGAACCAACTAAATACCGATACATTGTAAACATTAAACAACAATGAATTGACCCCTGGAGGCCCCGAAGATTCTTCTTTATTCATTTAGGGAAACTATGCTGCAAAGAAGGTGCAGACTAGTGACGTATCTCATAAGTCCCATTTATTAAACGTTTGAGTATTAGCATGCAGTCAAAATGCAATCCCTTTGATTCATAGGTGATTTTAAACAAAGCATACTGTCAATTTTCCGTTTCTCACTCGCTATGGGTGCACGCGGCGTGTTTTCATTACGTCACTTCGCCGTTACGGTGGAACCTAAAGACTAAAGCCGGAGCCACTAGAAACACTGTGCGTGCGTTCGCTTGTTCCTTCTCTGCTCTCATATTCTCCTCGTGGTCCTCCCACTCGTTGGTAGCCTGCTAAGGGCCCGGGCATGAAGAGGAGACGGCCGTGCAGCCTGTGATTGTCCAGGAGTGTCAATCACAGCGGACTTGGGGCGACCTCGCCGTGAGACGGGGGGGGGGCTGTTGGAATTCAGAGGAGGGAACGTGGGATGCCTCCAACTTGACCTCTAACACCTCATCGCAGTTCTTTTTGTACTATCTGAGCTCGCGTCGAAGTGCAGCGGCTGTGAGATGCATTAATCATCTGCGCTGCCTTCAGTGAATCCGGCCCATGAGGGGAAAAAAAAAAAAAAATCATTCAAGAAAAATGCAAAAACACTCAAGTGCACTGGTGTGAAATGACCGCGCTTATCTTGTCGCCTCTGTCCACGCTGTTGGGAGATTAGACGGCGCTTCGGAGTAAACAGAAGAGTATTCCGTCGCGATCGAGGAGCAGTCTGATGCAACCCCCCCAGGTTTTTTTTTTTTTATAGCTAAATTGTGGATGCTGCTGAAATGTGAAATGTATCCACATCATTCCATCCCAGGAAGCACACGAGACGTCCCACCCGAACGCAACACCACATCCACGATCGTATGTCACGCACAAGTCGCTGGCGTTTTGCGTTTTCCCTCGTAATAAACGTCCCACTCGAGAGTCGTAAGTTCGCAGGACTCAGCCGAAATGTCACACGCCGTGCTTTGCGGCCCACGCCGTCGTCCCCATAGCTTCCGGTTTGGACTGGAGACCCCCACACACCGTGTACCCTGCCGTGCCTTGTAGTGCAGGTTAATGAACTTCAATTACCCCAGCAACAGCCAAACCACATTCAACACCCTCAGGCAAACTAACACAGATTGCTTTCCTCCTACGGCGAGGCTCCACGCCGCTGTTGCGAGGGGCCAGTTGGGGGAAATAAGATTTGACTGACTCGGGGGCTCAGCGTGGGATTGCGGCCTCGTGGTTTTAATGGCTCTCCCGATTGAGCTAAACTTGATGGTGGAAAAGTTTCAAGTGTGCTGAGGTAATGCATCTGTAGAAAAGAGTTTTCTTTTGGTAGATCTACTCCGCAGAGAGGGCAGATCACCAGAACCAGGAAACATTTTCATGGCGTCGCAGTGCAAAGTGTTGATGCCCGTGTCTTTTTTGATTTGTTTTCCAGCGCACTGCCAGCAGTGTCGAATCCAGCGCTGCAACACGGAGTACGTGGCGTCCACCTCGCCCTCTAGTGGCCTGCAGGAGGACGCGGCCCCGGACGTGGACTACTGCATCGCCCTGCGGGCCTACGCCCTGTGCACCCGGCGGCAGGCGCGCAGCTGCAGGGGCGACCTGGTCTACCACTCGGCCGTCTTCCGCATCAAGGAGCTGTTCAATCTGCACAACTGCTCCAGCGACGGGCCCACCTCCTCCGCCAAGGTGCCCAGCACGGGACGGCCCGCCGTGCCGGAGCTGTGCGACTACGAGAAGCGGGCTCTCGCGTCGGGCCCGGGCGGCCAGCAGAAGAAATACGCCCACTGTGGATTATTCGGAGACCCGCACCTACGGACTTTCCGCGACGAGTTTCAGACCTGCAAGGTGGAAGGGGCGTGGCCTCTGATTGACAACCGCTTCCTGTCGGTGCAGGTGACCAACGTGCCCGTCGTGTTCGGCTCCAGCGCCACGGCGACCAGCAAGGTGAGGATGGGCGGGGAGCCACGGGCCGATTAAACGTCTCACCCCGAGTCAGTTTGTAATATTTACATACGAGCGGCGGGAGTAAAATGAATGCGTTGGAACAGAAGTTAAGGTTGTGGGCTCGTCGAAATGTTCACGGACAAGACGATTAATCAATAATTAGTTGCAGCCCCGATTTAAAACTTTTCTCTTTCCTGTATTTACGTCTTTAGTTTCTTTCTCTATATTTTTTAACTTGAACACAATTCAATATTTCATCAATAAATAAATAAAAAACGGTGCCTGGTGGGCGAGTGGCGTGTTCCTCGCGACCGGCCCCCCACGACGATATTACAAACCACGATTATTGGGAGTCTGAAGCTAGCGGCTCGTGTGAGCAGGCTGTTTTTGTGCGTGCTCCAGTTTTTGCCATAAAGTATCCACACGTGAAGTTAATCGTCATTCCACGGCGCCTCTCGAGCCTCCGGCATTCCTCGGAGCTCCTTCAGATCTGTGAGGGAACCGAGAGGGGAGGAGGGGAGGCTTCAGCGGTGTTGGATCGCGGACATGCTTGAGCGATCTACCTTTTAACACATGGGTGGTCATATGGTAGTGATTAACGCTCACTCAAACATTTTCCTCCACCGCGACGACCAGGAATGTTTTTTCACCCCTCTGGTCAGATAATTAACCGTGTGCCTTTTGTGTAAATATGGAATAATGTGGAAAAATAAAGTAATAATTGGGCAGCAGCGAGGGTTCTTGATTCTCTTAATGAAATAGGCCCCGTTTTCATGCTTTTAAATGGTTGGAACCGTATCTTTATTACTGAAGGCCACATTGGTATGTAAGACTCGGCGAAGAAATAATGTCAATTAAAATATGGTAAAGCTTTATTTGGATTATAGGCTTAAGTGGTAAATCATTTGTCCCTTACCAACGTTAATCACACGTAACGGTAATGTAACGTAATATTGGACTATATGCACCCAACGGGCGTTTGACGGTGTAATTTGGGTGTGCGTACCTGTAGTCTGTGCCGGCAACCCGCGTGCCCCCATCGTGATTTTTGGAGTTGTTTGCAACTGCCAGCCTTGAGACAGGAGATCATCCATCAAATCCTGCGTACGTGTAAACGTAACCACGGTCCCCCGCTTCGACACTTTGAAGAAACACCGGTATACTGGGATACAAATCCCAGTCAGTCAGCCAGCGGAGGGGACGTGTTGGAAGAGACGAGGCTGTTACGAAACTGTCGTTTGAGCCAACATTGAGGGGGGGGGGGGGGGCGTCATTCCCTTTTTGGTAGGGGAGGTTATATTTTGTTTCTCCTTCCTGGGGGAAAAAGACCAACCAAGGAGGTGGTTTTTTTTAGCCCGGCCACTCGACCGCGGCCCCTGAACATATTTAAAAAGCCCCCCCGCGGGCCACCGCAGACCCCCCCCAGAGAGCACAA